GAAAATACACATGATGGACACATGATGGTAATAGGCTTATGGATCTGTCTACAGCTCCAATTCCATGGGAAGAAAGCAATAAAAAGCTTATTGATTATGTTGATGATCAAGGTAACTGGGATACTCATTCTCTCACTCGGTGGCTACCTTCTGATATTGTGTTATCAATTAGGAGCATCTTACCTCCAAATGAGCAAGATGGAGATGATTATTTGCGTTGGAGCTTAGACCATTCAGATTGGATTTCAGTAAAAGCCATATATCAAACTCTTACAGGTAATGTTTCTGATACTCCTGGTAGTTCAGGGATTTGGAAAAAGGTTTGGAGTTGGGAAGGTCCTCGAGTTGTTCGATTATTTTTGTGGAAGGTCCTTCATAACAGACTGCCAACAAAAGCTAGGCTGAGTTCTTTTGAATTAGGCCAAGCTTACTGTCCAATCTGTCTTGTTGAGGCCGAAACATCTTTGCATTTGCTTAGGGACTGTGTGAAAATGAAAGTGCTTTGGGCTGATTTAGTTCCAATTGGTTTGCATAATTCATTTTTTACTGTTGATCTTCATGGTTGGCTGGAAATTTTTTTATCTTGTTTGGACAAGTTTACAAATAATATACCCTGGTGTATTGTGTTTGGCACTAACTGCTGGTTGGCTTGGAAATGGAGAAATGACTTCGTCTTTGGAAATCCTATTTCTTCTCTTTTCTATAAGAAGAATTCGGTTATTAGTACAGCTGAAGAGTACAAATTGGCTTTTCATTCTGCTTCCTGTAATAGATTAATCAAGCTCAGAGCTGAAATTTTCATTAGTTGGAAACCACCAGAAGAGAATTGGATTAAGCTCAATACTGATGGAGCTGCTAGGAGCACTCAAGGTTTAGCAGCTTGTGGAGGTATTGCTAGAAATCATGAGGGTCACTGGCTCAAAGGTTTCTCTTACGGGATTGAAAATTGCAATGCTCTCAATGCCGAATTGTGGGGTATACTTAAAGGTTTGGAGATGGCTTGGGAGGAAGGCTGGAAAAATTTATTTGTTGAATCTAATTCAACATCTGCAATCACCATTCTTTCTAGAAGAGGTGTTGCAGCCCGTGAGTCCCACTTGGTGACTCGCATACAGGCTTGGTTCCAAAAAGATTGGTATATTCAACTTGTCCATACTTATAGAGAAGGAAATTATGTTGCTGACTGGCTGACGAATTATCCTCTGGACAATACTACTGCTCCTGATATGTGTAGCTTTGGTTTTCTCCCTTTTCAGATTCAGTCTGTTTTTATTGCTGATTTAGTGGCCAAGCTTTTTTGTGAGTTAATAGTTTACACTCATGGCTTTCCACGATCAATAGTGACTGACCGAGATCCTATATTTGTAAGTCAGTTTTGGTCACAGTTATTCAAGTTAAGTGGAACTTCGCTGCACACTAGCTCCGCATATCATCCGCAATCTGACGGGCAAACTGAGGTAACTAATCGTTATCTTGAACAATATTTGCGTGCTTTCTGTCATGAAAAACCAAAGAATTGGTCAGAATTTTTGGGATGGGCACAATTTCATTATAATTCCAGTGTGCACTCAAGCATTGGTATGGCACCCTATACTGCTGTCTTTGGTAAGCAGCCCTTGCGGATTCCTCCTTGTCCTAGGGGATTGATAAAGGTGGAAGCAATTGAGGCCTTATTAGTGCAGAGAGATGAAATTCTCTCTCGGTTAAAAGCACATCTGTTACAAGCCCGAAACCGCATGAAGATTCAGAGTGACAAGCATAGGAAGGATCGCTCGTTTGAAGTAGGAGAACTAGTCTGGGTGAAATTGCAACCGTATAGACAGGTTTCACTAGAAAGGCGTGCTAGCCATAAAATTGCCAAGCGATATTTTGGGCCTTATCGAGTTGAAAAGAAGGTTGGAAATGTGGCTTATCGTTTGCAGTTACCTCCTAACTGCCAGATTCACCCCACCTTCCATGTCTCCTTACTCAAGCAATTCCGTGGAAATCTGGACATGCAGCCTGTACCCATTCCAGAGGAGACCGAGGAGAATAGGCCAGTTCAAATGCCATTAGCAGTGTTGGCCAGACGTACTGTTGTTGTGCGAGGAATTCCCCAACGCCAGTATTTGGTTCAATGGACCCATTCAGTGCCTGAAGATGCTTCTTGGGAAATAGAGGAGCATTTGCATCGTTGTTATCCTTCCCTGAACCTTGAGGACAAGGTCATATTTGAAGAGGAAGGGAATGTTACAAGAAGGAGTTCAAGTAGAGAAAAACATTCCTCGGTGAGGTTGAAGGACTACGTGGCATAGGTGAAGTTTATGCAGAGGACACGTGTAATAGAAATAGGTGATATGTTGAAAGTAGGACAGCTGTGTCTGTTGTAAATGAAGGTTGCTGTTAATAGCCTTAATACGTGGATCTGATGTGAGAACATACAGGGTACAAATAGAACGCAGTGTATCATTGAAAAACTACTGAAAATATACAATTGATTTTTTGGTTTTCCTTTCCAATTCTCTTGTTCCTCTCTTGTTAGGTCCATTCATAACATTTAGCCTCTGTTTGTAGAGCTCGAACAGTGACTGTTTTGTAGTTTCTTGCTGGGATTTTCCTCAGCATACAAAAAAAAAAGACGAGAAAATACAAAACGCATCACTTTTTTGGATGGTTCATCATAAGCTCATTATAATTAGCTTCATCGAAAGGAATGTGTTTGTGCCCAGTCGTAGAACATGTATAGCAATAGCACATACTGACAAAATTGTTAGAGAGTCATATTTTTTTATATATTTTTTTTTACTAAAATGATGTGACATGTGAGTGATTTCTCTAGTACTTATTTTATTAAACACCAACACTTTATACTCTACTGTTTGCACTTACTAATTAAGTATAATTCTTTGGACACCTTGGCTCTTGCATGTGCAGCTCTTTGACTGGAGCAGTCGTGTCGTAGCGCGGCTTTAGCAGTTTTCTCCGCTCACTGACTTCTTCATATTGATTAAAGCATTTGGGCTAAGGCGATAGAATAGTCCCTATATAATTGGAGCTGTCCATTGACTTCGGCCCATTGGATAACCTCCCCCAACCTTTTGTATTCAATTTTTAAATGCGACAGTATCTTTCTGATACCGATGTTAAACTTTGAAATTTGACATTAAATCATAACTGTTGATTTTTGTCAATCAACGATTATTATTTATTGAGAATTAATAATTAATTATTAAGTTTAATTCTTAATAAATAATAATCATTGATCAGCGGAAATCAACGGTTAGAATTTTGGTGTCAAATTTCAAAATTAATATCCCTTATTGTAAATAATATATGAAAATATGAAAGGATTCAATCTCAAATATTCCTATTTAATATTTAATTTTTCGAACTTTCTGTATCAGATACCTAATCTCAATTTTCTTCGCAGCATACACACACACACACTGAAAAGGTATGATTTCTTAATCTGTTTTTGACATTGGACCCACTTATACAGTTCTGTTTGTTTTTTTGGCTGCATTTCTGCTTGTTACTATCTTCATTTTCTTATTCTTTGTTATATTTTGTTTATGTTTAGTGTTAATAAGAAAGAATACAAGGAAAGGCACTAATGACAACGAAGATGATGAGGAGGATTCAAACAATGAAAGATCTTTGTTGCATATTCAGAAAACCCGTAAGGATCGAAAGGAAGGAGAAACAGTATATCCTTATTGTATAATTCCCCTATTTACTTGCACTGCATCCTTTAAAGTGGTTGTTGATACGGAAGCTAACTAACTGATGCAGTGCTAACCTCAAAAACTAACTCAGTAACTAATTGGTAACAGCAACAACTACCCATAAGAGCAGAAACTATCTAACAGAACTACCGACTGCTTCTTCTCAACTGACTCTCATGACCGTAACAACCTTGAAGACAGACAGCAAGTTGTACTTTTGCAAGGGCTCTTTGAAAAGCTCTGCATCTGCTGAACCAAGTGAAGAATATGGGAAAAACCAGTCTTTCAGTTTGAGTCTTGGAAAGATATTTAAGTTTAACATGATAGCAAAGCAACGGGCAATATTTGGGGAAAATGTGTTTCAGTGTTGCTCGCAAGCTACATAGCTCTAAGTGTGGAAAGTATTTAATTTGGATACACAAATAGTTTCAAGAATTGTGCACTATCAAAATCACTCATTTAAAAGATTATTTACATTTTTTTTTACTAATAGACAACACTTAGTACTATAATAATTTGACACTTTCTTATTTATTGGCACTGTACAAAGTTTATGTTAAAAATGATAAACATAAAATACCAAGTTGGAGCAAACACAGCATCTTGAAGTTGAAGAAACTATTCAAAAATATCAACATCACCAGCGAAATATGAACAATATCAAAATTCCTGTTGTGTAGCCCTTGCCTGAAGTTACACTGGCAGAGTTTTAAGCCAGGTAAGTGGTAACCGAGTTTAGGCTGGTCCGGTTCTCATCCACACCAAGAAGCTCAAATAATAGGGGGTTAAGTTTGTTAACCAAAAAGTAATAAGGTTAAGTTCGGGTCAAAACTTGTTAAGTAAATGCTTTTGGTTCAATCCTATTGCCATAATATTATGCTCACCGCATATTTTTTGTTTAGATATTAATTAAATCTAGATTGCGAAATATATTATTCCATATCTTTTGTTTGGATATATTAATTAGATTTTAGGCCAGCTGTTCTATTTGTTCTATCTTGCTACCTGAGATCCAATATTTTCTTATCCCCTGGTACAGTACAGAGAAAATGGAACCATACATGAAAGCTCGAGCACTGAGGCCTGCAAATTCTCCCGCGTAAGGTATGGGTCACGCTTAAGAAATGCATATATTCTTCCGACTTGATTCCTTGGCAACACGCACACACTAAACATATTCCTCTTGTTAGCCATACTCTAACTCAGAATATCACCCTTTTCCCATTATTTATAATGACTTTCTGCACCATCCACCACTTTATATAAAAAAAAAAAATCATTGCGTTCTCTCATATACCAGTCATATTTGTTAAAGGATGTGCGAAGGCAAGGGTTTCTATTTATGGCTGATGCAAGTTATCGGCCTCTTGGGCCTTATAGTTCTTTGCCTATGGCTATCCTTACGACCGAAAAGCCCCTCTTACTCCATATTGTTCATCTCTTTAGAATCGCCCTCGAGTCAAAACGGCACCATCTTTTACAGCCTTGAAATTGAGAACTCAAACAAGGACTCGAGCATTTACTATGACGACATACTATTGAGTTTCTTATATGGGCAGCAGGAGGATACGGTGGCGCAGACAACCATAGGCTCTTTTCATCAAGGAACAGGCAAGACCCGCGTTGTAACTGAAGTTATTAATGCCAAACCTGGAGCATTCAAACCTCTCTTAAATGCCATCTCAAATGCAACCGCTGAGTTAAAGGTTGCTTTGATCACAAGACTTCGTTACAAGACATGGGGAATTAAGAGCAAGTTTCACAGGTTAAACCTCAAAGGTATTCTACCAATTGATTCCGATGGGAAGCTTTCACGTAAGAAGAAGAAGTACCCCCTTAGCAGCCGCAATAACAAAAAACTGGGAAGAGTCAAAGCAAAGCACTGATCTCATCTTTATCCTTTCCTTATAAATCACGTAGAAAACATAACTATTTGCGCGCATTTGCTCCGATATCAAGGAGAGATTCATGTTTTCCACCAGTACACGGGAGAGATCCTTGTTTCCACCACAGGTGTAGGCATAAACAAGAGCAAGATAATTTAGTAGTATCTGATGGGTTTTACAAATGTGAATCTATAATACAGCGAGACACAAGATCATTTGGTTTTGGAATTTTGTGGTTAAGAAATTTTTTTCCATCTAGGAGAAGTAAGATATTCTATTGCACATAGTATGTCTAAATCGAATAGAAAACAAACAATTCCATATTCATGTATTTTTTTCTCTTGCAATAACAATTCATGTAATGGTGTGTTTAATAAACTTAAAATTTAGCCCAAAAAACTGTACTCACTGGACAATCTATAGCAAAATTACTGCAGCAGTGGAGCTTCCTGAGGCAAGTACTCAGACTCCACTAACTTCCCAAATATATTTTGCCGACTTTAGGGATTTCTTCTCACTGGAGTCTGACAACGGCTGGCAACTTGTCTCCGCCATTTGTGTATTGAAATCTGCCAAGCAACAAAGGAGGTAGTTTATGAATCTATCCAACTGTAAATATGCATGTCAAATTGCCAATTTTGAAGCTATTGCATTATACGGAATAAAGCACAAGGGCTAGATCATTACAGCTGGAAAGCCACCATAATCCCCAGGCTCTTTGATGTCCTTGGTTACACAACTTGCCGCAGCCAACCGAACCTGAAAATGCTTTGTAATCAGATATCTTCTCAACCCTAAGCTCCCAATTTCCAGAAAGTAAAAACAGTACATCAGCAAAAGATTTTATAAGTTTTTGCAAGGAATTCCAAGTTGTATTGACACCATAAAGCTGCAAATTATTCCCCCTTGCAGACTACTCAGATGAGAGAACAGGCATTTATCAAGGGCTTTAGAACTTCAGATTAACCAACATGCAATGAAAGTTCGCTAATTCTTTACTAATCACTAGCCATCCTCAATGCAACAAGGAAATGAGAGGTTAGCCTTATAATACCAAGGAAATAAATACATGCCTTTGATATAATGGATACGTGATCTCTGACAGCTACCCTTCCTCCCATAGTCACATAATCTCCTATGCTGAACACACCAGACAAAGTAGAAATTCTTGAGAATTTCAAAAGCCTCAGCAGGAAATTCAGTTCTGATATGAACTTGACCAGTTAAGTCAAAACTAAAACTCACTACTAAGAGCACAATAATGAAGATAACATACTTTGCTGAACCTGCAATCCCAACTTGTCCACAAAGCATACAATTCTTCCCGATAACTACATTATGGCCAATCTGTAAAACCAATCAGAACAAAAGAACACAGCCTTTTTGTTTTCTTTTTATTTTGAAAAAGCTAAATACCCAAATGTTAACCTGAACTAAATTATCTATCTTCGAATTGTCCCCAATAACTGTATCTCTCCAGCTGCATAACCAATGAGCAAGAAAAATTAGTAACAAAGCTGATAACGGTTCCAAGTGAAAATCAAAATTTAAACACATTTTAACACAATTAAGCTAAAAAGAAAATGATAAAAGCCATCAAACCACTAACCTGCCCCTGTCAATGCATGTATTTGCACCAATTTCCACATGGTTCCCTATTATTACATTCAACATCTGACAGATTTAAGCAAGAGATGGATATTATATTTAGTACAACCTACGCAAGCTGAAAGGTAAATATGGAATACTATATTTTGAAAAAAAAAAAAAAGCCTGTCAAAATATACAGTTTAAAATCAAATTACAATAAGGCATATTTCCAACCTGAGGCTTCTTTATCATATTACCATCACCGTCCACATAAAATCCAAACCCTACATATCAAATACATTATTGTTATTATCAGACAAGAACTGATCCTACAAAACACATCTCCAGAGAGAAAGTAGTCTATTTAAATGTGCATGAATCAGCTATTCAATACTAAGCATCATCTGGTGCAAAAGGTTAAACATCTCTGACCAATAATTGTTTAAGGCTATATAATAAGTTCCGTACTAAGACTTTTATTCTTTCTTAAAGTGTACTTGACTATATAAAACAAGCAGGCTTAAAAACCCAGCTTTACCATCTTGACCAATGCAGACTCCATTGTGGATTACACATGAATCACCTATACAGCAATTACTAAGCGCAACATTAAACCTGAAAAAGTATTGTAGTATCAAAACCACATTAGTACAAATACAAATTCTTTTGCATCAGACATAAGTTTAATTTAAAAATCCGCAGATATGAGTATTTAGACATAAGCATACATGCGAACTTGCATACAAATAATGAAGAGACAGAGCATCCTTCGGAATTGAATTACAAATAAATAACCTCCATCTATTAATTCCAAATTAGCATGATGTAAGTCTCCCAATAATGAAAGTAGTTAATATTTTATACCTACAACAGCATATTGTTGGTATTTTTTACAGTCAGCTTCTACCTTCTATAATAACATAAGCCTTCAGTGCAGAGTGTCAGTTAGAGCTAAAAAAGCATCCAAGTCTGTTACAAAATTAATGGCTAAAAGCAATATTAAAGAGGAGCATCTAAGGTGAGAGCTTAAAAGCAAAATGACAACTTTTTCAAGCAATGGTATTGACGGGACAGAGTTGCATAGCTTTGTTAAAGAGAGAAAGGAAAGTGTACCCTATCTTTGTTGAATGAGAAATTGTAACAGAAGGCCCAACAATAGTTCCAGAGCCAATACGAACATTTGGACCAACAACAGATTCTGAATGAACTACAGCTCCAACCTCTACAAGTGCTGTAGAGTCAATGCAAGCTGACTCATGGAAAGTGCCACCCCCATTATGCCATTTCTGAAAATTATCACGGAAAGGCCCACAACCATCCTCTAATCTTGAAACACAAGACAATCGCAAAAGGAAATCAATACTTTTTTTTTTTAAAAGGAAAAAAAGCATCAAGAAGCGTATAGAATGATAATTCACCTGAAGAAGAAGCAGAAAATATGGAGAAATGACGAGGAGAAGCGAGAAAATAGAGCAAGTTTGCATTTCGATTGAAATTGAGAAAAGGGGATGACGCGGAACAAGCAAAGCCAAATACCCTCTTCCCAGCCATAGTTATCGCGGAACAATTACTAGGTTAAGTACAAGGATCCGTCAATGGTTAGATCGGGGCTCCGTCCAACTTGGGTCGATTAAAACGGTTGATTCGTATTTGGGATTCAGTGGGCCAGTGTCAATGTATTTCTTTCGGGCCATAGGGCTTTTGTGCTATTCTCCCCATTCATTCGCCCACTATCTTCAAGATCCCAAAAAAAGTATTATTTTGGGCATTAAAATGGGAGAAATAAAATAGTTATCTTTATGTTATGTCGTAGAAATAAGATCGAGCAAGTGGGTAAGAGAAAAGAGAAAAAAGAAAAAGTGAGATCTACTCATCTTTTGTGTGTACAAAAAATTTAGTTATTTCATGCAAAACTAGATAAATATAACCCTTAAAATGGGGTCAGTTATATTTACTATTAGATAAATGGAAGATTTTATACTTGAGAAAGGTTATACTTATTACATATTTTGCATACTACCTCTTACTACCAAATCTTAATCGTTGATTTTCGCCAATATAACGGTTATAATTAATTAGAAATTAATAATTAATTAATAAGTATGACCTTATAAATTACAACCGTTAGATTTAGTAATAAGAGGTAGTAAGAAAAATAAGTAGTAAATATAACCTTCCCATTATACTTACCACCAATTAGGGGTGTGCAAAAAAACTGGTTGACTTGCCCTGCCCTTGATCCGACCTTGACCTGACCCATAAATACCTATATTTTTTGAATTAGTTTAAATACTGACCCACTTTTATTTGGGTCAGTTTTAGACCTGACTTGTTTTAATATTGACCCATTGACCCAAAACTTGACTCATACCCATTATGTGAAAAAAAAAGAAAATCACAATTACATTAAAAGAAAAGTTTTAACGTAAACCTATCACGTCAAAAAAATTTATGGAAAATATTTTCATAAAAAAATTTCGCAAAAATTTTTGACGAAAAATATTTTCATCAAAATTTGTGATTAAAAACATTTCTGTACAAAAATTTGACGAAAATTTTTGTATATCAAATTTTTTTACAGAATCTAAATTTGTCAAAATATTTCACAGAAAAATATATTCATCAAAAATTTCGACGAAACACATTTCCATCGAAAATTTTTGACGGAAAAAAATTTCATCAAAATTCTTTACAGATTTCAAATTTCGGCGAAAGTTTTCGACGGAAAAATTTTGGTTAATTTTTTGACAAAAAAAAATTTCGTCGGAATTTTTATCAAAACACATTTCCTTCGAAAAATTTCGACTAAATATTTTTGTGAAGTTTTTTGATAAAAAATATTTCCATCAAAATTTTCAACGGAACACATTTCTGTAAAAAAAATTCGTAAAAATTTTTGACAAAAAATATTTCGTTAAAAAATTTTGACGGAAAAAATATTCTATCAAAATTCTTTAGAGAATCTAAATTTCGTCGAAAGTTTCATTTCCCTCGAAAAAATTTTTGTCGAAATTTTCGCCAGAACACATTCCCATCGAAATTTTGAATGAAAAATATTTCGTCAAAATTTTTGACTTAATTCTCTTTTCATTTAAAACATTTGATGGAAGAAATCATTTTCTTCAAAACTTTTGACGAAAACTAAATTTCGATAGAAAATTTATTTTTGTAAAAATTTTCATTAGAGAAAAAATTTCGTCGCTTTTCGAAAAAAAATATTCCGATGAAAAAATAATTTTGTGACGAAATTTTCGTCGTTTGCAACGTAGAAATTTCGACGAAATTTTGTGAGGAAACCAAGTCAAAAACGGGTCAGGTCAGATTTGACCACTTCAGAAACCAAGTCAGGTCAGATCCGATCCAGTTCTGAACTAGTTCAACAAAATCCAAACCAAGTCAGACCTGACTTATATCAAATTAAAGTGGGTCGGGTCAAAATACCTGACCTATAAAAACCAAGTTGGGTCGAGTCGGATAAAAACCTGACCCGACCTGACCCATGCACAGCCTTACCACCAATTAAGTTTATCGCCTTTTATTACCTATCTTTTCTATCGCCTCTTTCCATAATTCAATTGTAAGTATAACATTTTCTTTTGTGAAAAAATGTAAAAAATAAAAGTATTCAAAGGTCAGAATATTTTTCTTCATCCTCCTTACAACATCGAGTGTGGAAGTTTGCATCAGCATTGTATGTGGCAATAAAATAAAAAACACACATTATTAGATATCAGGATCAAGAGTGGAAGTGGGAAAGAAACAGTTGTTATTTTTTCGCAAAAGCTTAACCACAACATTATTCTATGCCTCGCCTTGTTTGCTATTTTGCCTTTACAAAATTTGCAGTGATGTATTGATCAAAAAATTGTGATTTGAATTGCAGACTAAAATCCACTTTTTTCAATGATAATTTGATAGTAGTCTTTTCATTTGCAAGGATTAGTGAATAAAAAATCGCATAAATGACAAAAAAAATAAAGAAAAAAAGGAAAAAATCAAAACCTCAATTCTAAGAAATAGTGTAGACCGAGAAATTTGGATTCTTTTTTAATTTTCATTTCATGTAACAATGATTTGGTTTGCAAACCCAAAGAGAGGGGATCATAATAAATTTTTATCGAACTAATATAGTTTGTCAATGATTGAATCTTCTTATAAATAAAATGAATAGCTGTAAGAAAATGAATAAGGAAATTATACAAAATTATAAAATACAAATAATAACGTCACGATTCAAATTTAAATGCAAATAATAAAATGATAATTCAAATCGAATTATTGCAAATAGTAACGTCATCCTATAATTCAAATGTCCATATGATCCTAGTCAGATTCTAGTCATCCTATAATTCAAGTGTAGATATAATCCTAGTTAGATCTTAGTCATCTTATAATTCAAATTGTGATTCGAATTGCATAAATGACAAAAAAAATTAAGAAAATAAACAAAAGGGAAAAAAAGGGAAAAAACTGAAACCCCAATTCTATGAAATGGTGGAGAGTGGAGACCGAGAAATTTGGATTCTTTTTTAATCTTCTTTTTGTGTAAAAGTGATTTGGTTTGCAAAGCCAAAAAGGGGATCGTAATAGAATTTTTACCGAACTGGTGTAATTTGTCCTTGATCGAATCTTCCTATATATACAAATGAATAGCTGTACAGAAATGAATAAAGCAGCTATACAAAATTACAAAATACAAATAGTAATGTCATGATTCAAATCTAAACGTAAATACAAATAATAACATGATAATTCAAATCTAAACATAAATGTAAATAGTAATGTCATCCTATAATTCAAATGCTGATATGATACTACTCAGATTCTAGTCATCCTATAATTCAAATACAGATAAGATTCTAGTTAGATCTTAGTCATCCTATAATTCAAATTGTGATTCGAATACATGATGCGCTGACACTTCAAAAGTCCCGACGCGTAGGGGTGTGCAAAATAACTAAAAAACTGAATCGAACCATGAACCGAATTAAACTGCCCTTAAAATAACTGGTTTTTAAAAATCAGTTTATGAACCGAACCGATTTTTAAAGAACTAGTTCATATACCGAACCGATTTTTAGAACCAATTTTGAACCGAACCGAACCATTTTCGAATCAAACCAAATTGATTTTTATAACTTTATTTTTAAATTTCTAAACTTTTTTTCAAAATAGGATCGACCCGAACCGATTCCGAACTAAACTGAATCACTTCCGAACCACTTTTGAACCGAACCAAACCATTTTCGAACTGAACATTTAAACCAATTCGATTCGGTTTTTCAAAAAATGATCAAAGTTTGTGTTGCTTTGCCTTTTTAGTTCCAATTATTAGATTCGTTGGATTACCATTTTATTGAGTTTAATATAAAAATTTGAAATATCCTATGTTTCTTTGCAAAATTGATAGATATTGTAAGTTTAACTTTACTTTTTGTTAAATTATTACATATTAAATATAATATACACTACATAAATCAAAAATGTTATTCAATATTAAAACGTGTCCTAACGTGTTAACATTTAATATTTTTTTTTAAATATTCCAATCGGTTCATCGCTTTGCGACTAGTCCGATTCGAGGCGGGTCCAGGATTAAGGCTTTAAACCCCTTCCAAAGGTAGTACTGGAGGGGATCGAACACATGCTTTCACCATCACCTGCTCAGCTCTCATGCGCCAAATGAGCTACCACCATTTGGTAAATTTAAATTTAATATTTTTTTAGAATTAACATATATGCAGATATGTCATGTTGTGTCCCGTGTCAGTATTGGTGCAACATATATTCGAATTGCATAAATGACAAAAAAAAAAATTAAGAAAAAAAAGGGGAAAAAACCGAAACCCCAATTCTACAAATGGTTGAGGCTGAAAAATTTGAATTATTTTTTAATCTTTTTTTTGCGTAACAATGATTTGGTTTGAAAACCCAAAGAGTGGGGATCGTAACATAATTTTTACCGAACTGATCTAATTTGTCCTTGGTTGAATCTTCTTATAAATACATATGAATAGCTGTACAAAAATGAGTAAAGCAGCTATACAAAATACAAATAGTAATGTCATGATTTAAATCTAAACTTAAATGCAAATAATAACATGATGACTCAAATTAATTTGAACATAAATGTAAATAGTAACATTATCCTATAATTCAAATGCAGATATGATTATATTTAAATCCTAGTCATTCTATAATTCAAATTGTGATTCGAATTGCATAAATGACAAAAAAATAATAAAGAAAAACAAACAGAAGGAAAAAATTGAAACCCCAATTCTACGAAATGGTTGAGACTGAGAAATTTGTATTCTTTTTTAATCTTCTTTTTGCGTAACAATGTTTTAGATTGCAAACCCAAAAAGAGGGGATCGTAATACAAATTTTATTGAACTGATTTAATTTGTCATTGATTGAATCTTCCTATAAATACAAATGAAGAGCTATAAGGAAATGAATAAGATTATAAGACAGCTATACAAAATTACAAAATATAATTAGTAATCTCATGATTCAAATCTAAACTTAAATGCAAATAATAACATGATGATTCAAATCAAACATAAATACAAATAGTAATATCATCCTATAATTCAAATGTGATATGATCCTAGTCATCCTATAATTCAAATACAAATATGATCCTAGTCGTCCTATAATTCAAATGTCTAGGATCTGACTAGGATCATATTTGCATTTGAATTATAGGATCTGACTAGGATCATATCCTAACAAATCGAGAGAGGATGGGAGAAGAAGAGTGAAAAATTAAAATTATAAGGATTGGTTGTTGGGCATTGAATCTAATACTAATTTAACGACGATTAATTTGATTGTAAATATGATAAATTTAACTGGACTTCATTTTCTTGAAAGAATATGGAAATGGATCCTCTAATGTGAAAAAAAAACATGACATGGTCATGTGAGAAGATTACAACCATACAAAAGTAAATCAACGGTTATGATTTTATAACTACCTATTTTAATATATTTTCTCTCTCCTCCTTTATTACCATTGATCTACCTTTGTATGGTTATGATTTCCCACATGACATGATCATGTGATTTTTCACATTAGAGGATCTAGATCCAAAGAATATAATGAACCAAGGAAAAAAGGGTATATAAATTACAAAGCAAAACTATATAAGGAATAAAAGAAGCTATGTAAAGAAGTATATAAAGCTCTTTTTCCATATTTATTCATTTTCCCTAAATAAAATTTGTCTGTTTGTGGATGTATAAATTAATCATGTCACTTATTGGGGGCCTATGACTTAGCTTGCATTATCAAACATTACCTAATATATTCAGTAAAATAAAACAGATTCAAGTCTTGAAAAAATTCATTTAAAAGATAAGTTATAAGTCTCCTCTTGCAAAGCTTTATCTACTATAGACCGCCTTAGATTGTAATTTTTTATTAAAATAAAATAAAATAAAAATTTAATAAATTAGTTACTAAAATAAGTTTTTTTCATTTATTTTTAATAATTTTTTATAGATGTTGAAAATTTGTTAAACTTAAATAAGCTGTTAAACCTAACATTGACCTTTTGAATTTTTCAGGTTAGTTTTATAATTTAACTTATATAATCCCTGTTGAATAGACCAAACTTAAAATATTTATATAGACTCGATTTATTTCAACTAAACCTGACGAATATTGCCCAGCCTATTTTACACTCTATTTGCTTGTGATTTTTTTATAATACTACTAGCTATGTCAATGCCACTATGCTCTGGTGAAATTGGTTCTGAAACCAATTGGCAGTTCCCCCCCCCCCCCCCCCCCCCCCCCCCCCCCCCCCTTCCTCTCATCATCAGTGACATGTCTTGCTTATCTATTATACTTTGATTTTATTCATTGATTTTATTTTAACAGTCTGTTTCTCACACAATGATTGGAGCTTACGGGTCAACCGAAGAATTTATTTCTGTTTTCATTTTTTTTTCCGAAAATACTCCGATTGGTTTATCCATAGTTATCAGTATCTTATGATACATGATACGATATGATACGATACGATTCACAAGCCAAGTAATATGTATCGTGAGGTGTATCAGAAATGGATTTGTATCGAACGATATTATACTGCGTCGTACGATACGATAAGTGTATCTTAGATATAAAAATTAAATCAAAATTTGCAATTTTTAATATTAAAAATAAAAATAAAGATTTGATTTGATTTATAATTTAAATTAAAAAAAAGCTAAAAGGATCTTTTTTGGAAGAGAATAATTGATTAGTAATGATAGTGATAATAGTGATAATATTAGTATTAATGATTGATAAATAGAAAAATAATTGATTTGTACTCTAGTTACTTATGTATTTTGCTTATTGTATCTTTTTGGAGTTTGATTTATATGATATCAATTATATTATATATTTTTAAATTTTTTATTATATTTAAGTATCTTATGATTCATCATACAATACAAAAAATCCTTCAATTGCAATTCAATAACCTTGGGTTCATTGCTTATGACTAATCCGATTCTGGTGATTCAAACTTTGAACAACTTCACTGTATTAGAGACGACGATCGAACACATGCATCCACCCCCTGCTTAGATTTCCTGTCGCAACTGAGGTACCATAGTTTGTTTTTCGGTTTCAGTTTTCATTTTTAAACCCTAAATTTTGTATGCAATTTACTCAGTATCTAATTTCTTTGCTTCCTTAGTGCAGTATTCAAATCTAAAAACCAGAAGTACACGCAGAAACATTTTCCTGTGAACAAAGCTAGTTGGTTGAAGTCCAACCATGCCTTTGTCATAGTTCTTTGTCTTTGATCAGTTTGAATTAATCACCAGTTTAGCAGCTTCTCGGGAATTGTGACGTCTTTTTTCTAAGCAGAAGAATGCTGAAAGAAGAAATATTGAAATTGGATTGCCAACTTATTCAGAATCAGAAGGAAAAAGAAAAGAAAAGAATGATTCATTCTCTAATGGTTTCCAAATCCATTCAATTCTTCCTTCTTCTTTGTTCTCTTGCTTCTCTTTCAGAGGTTGCCTTTGCCGACCCTCCATATGAAATTTGTTCCACAAGCAGCAACTACGAAAATGGAAGTTCCTTTCAAAACAATCTAAACAATCTCCTCTTCTCTTTACCCTCCAATGCTTCAATCTCCAAATCCTATAATACTTCTTTTGGGGTTGCCTCAGATAGAGTATATGGCCTCTACATGTGCCTCGACTATGTTTCAAATGAAACTTGCAAGAATTGCTTAGCCACGGCAATAGAGGACATCGTCAAACTCTGCCCTCAAGCAGAAGAAGCAGTTGTATGGGAGGAGGTATGCCAATTACGTTATTCCAATAACAATTTCATGGGTAGGTTGAATGTCACAGGTAACATTGGCAAAGATAATCAACAGAATATTTCAGAACCAGAGAAATTCCAATATGCTGTGAATAAGATATTGAGTAATATCACTGATATGGCATCTTTTAATGTTTCGGCAAACATGTATGCTACTGGAGAAGTCCCTTTTGAAGATAAAATCATATATGCCTTAGTGCAGTGCAGCAGAGATTTATCAGCCAATGATTGCAATAGTTGCCTGCAAAGTGCCATAAAAGATATACCAGGTTGTTGCTATGGCTCCATCGGTGCAAGAGTTCTGAGTCGTAGCTGTTATTTGAGATATGAGTTTTATCCGTTTTATCTTGGTGCATCAGAAACCACACCACAGGTTCTTCATCCGGCAGTTACCAAAGAAGTAAGCATTTCAAGTCACTTCAAGTTTTAACAATGGTCTAAAACATATTATAGGCAACAATCATTCAAAGCTGCATTCGATTGATCCTTTCCTTTATGCAGACAGTTCAAGCAAGATATGGATGATTACAGGCATTATAGTTGTGGTGGGCTTGGCGACAATATTTTCCATTTGCTGCGTATACTTTTTCAGGAATAAAAGGAATAAGCAAAGTAAGATTTTATTGGAAGGTCTGTTCAGGTTTCTAAATTCTTTTCTTCTCCTAACTCATTTTGTTGTTTTGTCTTTAGGTAAGAATTGGATAGACAATCATCTAATGAACCTTCAGAACTTTTGTCAGCGGAGTAAATCATCACTTCATCACCAGAATATTCGAGAAAGAAATGACAAAATATATGAGAACCTCCCTTATATTGATCTTGATTCTCTTTGTGTGGCTACTCAAAATTTTTCTGATTTAAATAAGCTTGGACAAGGTGGCTTTGGTCCTGTTTACAAGGTAAATAAAATTCAAGTTAAAAGTTCACCCTTTCTTACATGAATGTTTTCTAAAATTCACCCGTTAATTTTTTTTTTTTTGAAGGGTATACTTGTTAATGGCCGGGAAGTAGCAATCAAGAGGCTCTCAACTTGCTCTGTGCAGGGATCAGAGGAATTCATAAACGAGGTTCAGCTGATAAATAAACTTCAACACAAAAATATTGTAAAGCTTCTGGGATTTTGTGTAGATGGAGAAGAGAAGCTTCTTGTTTATGAATTTTTGCCGAATGGTAGCCTTGAAGATGTCCTTTTTGGTACGTATATTCTTTCCTCCTCCTTTTTAAGGATGGAACAACCAATTTGATTGGAATAAAATTCAACAATTAAAAATTAGATTGATAATAACATTCATTTTACAATTCATGGGGAACTTCATATTTACATTTTTGTGCATGTGGAATATGGATAGATCAAGAGCAACGTGCACGGCTGGATTGGACCAAACGCCTCGATATAATAAGTGGAATAGCAAAGGGGATTCTTTATCTTCATGAAGATTCTCGACTTAAAATAATTCATAGAGATCTAAAAGCAAGTAATGTGTTGTTGGACCATGACATGAATCCAAAAATCTCAGACTTTGGAATGGCAAGGATATTTGCTGGAAGTGAAGGTGAAGCTAACACTGTTACATTAGTTGGCACATAGTAAGCACTTATTTCCTTGCATGAAAATTTCCCCTTAACGTATATATTTACTTGCTTAAATTAATTTAGTTCCAATTTGAAGTGGATATATGGCTCCAGAATATGCAATGGAGGGATTATATTCCATAAAATCTGATGTGTTCGGCTTTGGAGTACTATTACTTGAGATCATTACGGGGACACGTAATGCGGGTTTCGATCACTCTAGAAGCAATCCCAGCCTTCTATCATACGTAAGTGTCTACCTCAAAATCTGCTAAATGTGTGAAAATTGTTTTCTTAACATGATGAATCATTAACCCCCAAGGGTAGCTCAGTTGGCAGCTGAGCTCCCAAGGGATTGCTTGGGGAAGGGATCAAATCTTGCCTCAAGCAGTTTCTTGGAAAATCTTTGGGGGCCAGAGGATAAGTCAAAAATCTTCGGTTGGGGAATTAGTCTCGTCCTTTCTCCGGTTGCGAAGCTTAGTGCACCCACTGTTACAATGAGGGGCTAGCCCAAACGGGCCGTACCCCGAGGACATGGTGCCCGGAGAAGGTTGAATGGGGATACCTCCTGGCAATGTACCAAAAAAAAAAAAAAACACGATGAATCATTTTGTAGGCATGGCATCTATGGAATGAGGGAAAGGGGACGGAGTTAAAGGATCCTTTGTTATTGGATTCATGCTCCGAAGATCAGTTTTTGAGACTCATGAGTATTGGACTGCTATGTGTTCAAGAAGATGCATCTGATAGGCCAACCATGTCTAGGGTTGTTTTGATGTTGAGGAATGAATCATCATCGCTTGGCCAACCAGAACGGCCACCTTTCTCGGTAGGGAGATTCAGAGCTAATGATCTTAATGACCCACATTGCCAAGATTGCTCAGTCAATTTCTTGACTGTTTCTGATATTATATTGCCCCGGTGAATGTTTTACTATTTGGATTTACTTGTAAAATAAATGTTTATGTATTGATATAATTCAATTACAATAAGAGCTGTTTGATACAAGGTATTATTTTGGTTGCTCGGGAAAGTAGTATCGAGAAACTTTTATTTCCACGTTTGGTACAAATAAAAGGTAAATATTTTCTGAGAAAATTTTATTCCCTGAATTTTATTTTACACTATCGATTGAAAATACCAACTTCCACATGCTATTTTTTTTCCCCACTCACTGGGAAAGCATTCACACATTTGTCAGTCAAAAATACCCTCATGAGCCCTAAAAACGTATGACTTCATCTTTCCATGGTGTTGTTCCACACAAAGTTGGATTTGTTGGTTCAATGTTATACTTATCAGGCTTGGAGTTGATATTGGTGGATGATATGAAGATCGAGGAGTTCAGAACTTGAGATGTAATTTGTTCTCTTATTTATGTCGCAATTCTTCCATGAAAGCAAGCACTTCTCTTCAAATTGCCACTGCCCTGTTTGGTCTTCTTCCTCTTGATTCTGAAACATTGCTGCAGATTAAATCTAGTCTTCCGGCTTATTCTAGTAAATCTGTTTCTGAAGATGCTGGAAACCTAGTCTTTCACATGAATTGAAGTAGATGGGGGATATGGGATGGCACAACAAGAGGATGACAGTTTAGTACAAAAAACACGATATGGGAGTATTCAAGAAAAAGATGAACAGTGTGCAGAATAGTCACCGAGTAAAGAAGTCGCTGATTTGCATTGTACTCATGTGTAAGTGTAGTTACAAATTATGAGGTTATTTTTTTGTAAATTCATCTCATATTTCTAAAAATATTTTATTATTAACCAAACATACGTTCACAAAACTTACCAAATAGTTTTTTCATAAAATTTTAAGAAAACTAATATTCGTACCATTTTTTCAGTAATCAATACCAAACATACCCTGACGGGTAAGATATAAGATTTCTACTTTATCTTTGTAAGTTATAAAATAAATTTTGGTTTCATTTGTTTCACACCATTTTCATGGATTTTTGACCCAAAAAATGTGAATTTCAAAAAAATCCACGTGTTTAGTTCATTGACCAAATATTTTACCAAACTAATGCAGGAAGACTTATTTCAGGTGGTTATGCGTTTAGTCACGTATCTTACACATGCGCGTTTCTGATAAATCTGAACCCGTTTGTACTAGATACGTGTCTGAACACGTCTGTATCATGTACGCGTTTCTGACAAGACTAACGAGTACAATACTAAGATGCGTCATATTCAGGCACGTATTTTGTGGCATAGTCGCGTCACAGTCAGAAATGCGCACCTGGTACAAACGTGTTTAGACACGTACCTGGTACAGACGTGATCAGATTTGTCAGAAATGCGTATGTGTCAGATGTGCGACTAAACGCGTAATCACCTGAAACGCATTTTTTTGCATTGGTCCGATAAAATATTTCGTCAACAAAGGTAAATTTTTTTAAAATTTACATGTATTAGGTCAAAAACCCCATTTTCATTCATAAATGAGACAAAAATTGTACAAGAGTGAGAAGACGTCAGTTTGTCACTTCCGAAATTAGTGAATATTGTAAAAAAAAAAATTAAATAAATTTACAAGTTGCTAATCCCAACAACTCTCGTTTGGTGAAGCTGGATCAGGCTACTATGTTGGTTCTTGAATATATACTTCCATCCGATATTGAGTTATTAGTTCGATTGAACTGTTGACCTGAGTTAACATATGAAGAGCTATATTTTATATATAAAAATATGTAAATACATGTAAAAATTTATCATGCAAAGCTATAAATATATATAATTTTGTAGGAATAAAAAAAAAGTTATATTCATAATCACATATACAATATAAGAAATAAACAAAAAAAAAAGGAAAATTCAAAATATGAAGTAACCACATATGACTTCTCTACCAAATATCTGTTAAGAATGGTACGAGGGAGTCCAAAACTCTTGGCAAGGGATACATCCATGGGCCAAGCGATAAACCACAATAAGTGGGCCAACACTACATCTCAACCCAAAATCTTAAGGCTGTAGGTTTATGGGTCTTTTTGCACTTATATGGTCATCACTTGGTCTATGTTATTGTCTAGCCTATGTGAAACTTACTTCACCACCACTCACTCACACTTATCTCAACCCAAAATATTAAGACTGTAGGTTTATGGGTCTTTTTGCACTTATATGGTCATCATTTGGTCTATGTTATTGTCTAGCCTATGTGGAACTTACTTCACCACCACTCACTCACACGTGATTATTTCCAACATCCTCCCTCAAGTGTGAGGCCCAATATCATTCTTACTCTAAGGTCAACTTCTGTGGAAGTCTTTTTTTTTCTCTTTAAATATTAGGGTCACACTAGACTTCTGCAGATGCCTTCCAAACACTTGGCCCAGATCGTTGGCTCTAATACCACTGTTGGGAATGGAACGAGGGACCCCAAAACCCTTTGCAAAGGATACATTCACCAATGAGCCAAATGACAAACCATAATAAGTGAACCGACACCACATCTTAACCCAAAACCTTAAGGCTGCAGCTGCAGGTTTATGGGTCTTTCACACTTATATTGTCATCATTTGGTCTATGTCTAGTCTATGTGGTACTTCTTTACAACTCATACTTGATTATTTTCAACAATATTCTCAAATAATCATGTTTAATAATTGAGAAAAGTGTTTGTCATTTTAAATGACAGAAAGTTATATCATTTTAAGAGAGATACAGACACAGAAAATTTGAATTTTAAATTAAAAAAACCATCCACTTTCTCTCTCCCATGATTTCCGTTTTTCTGTGTCTATCTCTCTCCTAAAATGACATAACTTATGTCATTTAAAATGACAAACACCAAACCCTTAATAATTATAAGATATTTATCAACATATAGTTTTTTTTATAAAAAATACATGACATGTCGATTTTGATGAACCGACTGAGCCACCAGTTTTGATAAAATCCGACGAATTCGAATCGAATTTCATCGAGCCTAATATATGACTTGTCCGAAACTAGACTTGAACTTGTTAGATGACCAGGCCGATTTAAGTCGTATATGATAACACTACATCCATATGCCAATCTCACTTGTGGGCCCATCAAGACTCACGATGACATCTTAGTCTCGTTCAAGCGGACTAAATTATATCAAATTAGTAAATAATTTTAAAATTATATTATTTTGACAAATATTTAAATTGTATTATAATAATAATAAAAAGTCCAAATATTTGATATATTTCAAGTATTCCAACTGTTTTAAATTTTTGCCTCTTACTTCTCCCGATTTCTAATAGATCGGTTGAAAATAAAATAATAGTAAGATATTGATTAATCGTAAAAAAAAAAATGAAATTATAGCAATTATAAATTATCACTTACCCAATTTAAATGATATTAAATATTTAAATATTTATAAAAAAATCATAAAATTGTAGTTATTGTTAATAATTTTGATATTTTTGAATTTATACAAATTACAAATCATAATTATTTATAGACATTATTATTTGACTCATAAATTTAATATTAATTTAATAACACCACAATTGATCGAGCATGTTTATTAGCGACACAACACGAAAGGTTGATGATGAGCATATTTATGTCTATTTTAAATTTTAAATATAGAATTTAATGTAATATGAGCTGATTGAGTTTTGTATTTAATATAATGAAAACTGGTTGAGAGTTGGTTACATGTTGTCGCCATATTTATGTCTATTTTGAATTTTGAATTTAAAACTTAATATAATAAGAGCTTATTATGTTTTTTATTTAACATAATAAGAGCTGATTGCGAGTTGGTTTAGTTACGTGTTGTCGCCAATTCAAATTCATTTATAATTTGTAATTTTTGAGCCTATTTATAGTCAATATTTCAATGAAATTAGCAAGAGTGTAGATATCAAAAAGTAAATATGCTCTAAATTACATTAAATTCTAAATCAAAATGAAATGCTCTAAATTAAATTCAAAATTTAAATTTAAAATTCAATATTCAATTTATATAACAACAACCTCCTATATAAACCACATTAAAAATTGGGAAAAGTATGTGTAATTTAAAATGATGGTCTTTACCTAAAAAAAAAAAATGATGGTCTTTTAAGAGATAGATAAAAATAGATCATGGGAGAGAAAGAGGAAAAAGAAAAAAAAAAAAGACCCTGCTCTCTCTCTCGTGATTTATTTTTATTTTTCTTTTAAAATGATTTAACTTTCTGAACACACATATTTTCCTAAATAATTTACCGCATCCATATGAGGATTTGGTTAAGCTGTGGAGGTTGTGCCATAAAAAGTCTTAAAATGGATAGTCGGAAAAAATTAGCAGGGCTAAGCCCAAAGTTATGTGAATTTCTCAAATTCTATGTATAGAAAAGTATCAAATACGATATCAACATACATGTGTATATTTGATTAATGCGTGTTATGCTCGAGTATTCATGGAGTAGATCTGATGGTGATGGCTGCAAGAAATTCTTCTGTGTGTTATTTGACTCATAATTATACAAATTAGAAATCATAATTATTTATGAGAGAAGGATATTGTAATAACCAAGTTGTGTTACTACTATATTACTACAAATCAATCTCACCGTTAGATCGATTGTGTTTATCCAACAGTTATATTTATTTTTATCTTTGTATGGTTATGATTTCTTAAATTTAATATTTTATATTTATTTCTACCTTTGTATAGTTATGATTTTATATATTTAATGCTTTCACTTTAAATATGGAGAATTATAACCATACAAAGATGAAAATAAATATAACTGTTGGATCAACATAATTGATCTAACGATGATGTTGATTGGTAGTAACATGATAGTAACACAATTTGATTGTTACAATATCATTTCCCTTATTTATATACTACTTATTATTTGACTCATAAATTTAATGTTAATTTAATAACAACACAATTGATCGAGCATGTTTGTTAAGAGAACATTTTCAGTACTATTGTC